TCTGGAGGGGTCAGCAAAGAAAGGACACTCTCTGTGTGCCCTGGTGTGGGCAGTGAATGGACACTCAGAAGATGAGACACCCCTCAAAGGTGAAACTCATCTGGAGTAAAGCATTAATCCAGACACCCATAAGCCATGACCCTGCAGTTCAGTGTGAGCCAGTGAAAATGCATCAGGCACGGGGAAAGGAGACTGGAGAAATGTGGAAGCTGCCCGAGGAGCCCCAGGGCAGGGGGTCTCCTGCTGTCCTGGGCAGCAGGGCTGGTGGGGAGGCAGAAGGGGAACAAAGGCAACCAGGGATGGGGATCACTTGCAACATGAATGCAGGACAGACAGAGAGTGCCTGGACTCTTTCCTCACGCACTTTGGACCAGCTCAAGTAGTGGGAACACTGAGGAGGCTGCCATCCCTCTCTGGGATGCTCCCTGGGGCTGCTGTGCCCTTCAGAAAGGTTGGAGCTGTGGGGTGAGTGCCCAAGTCCCAGCCCACTCCTGACTTCTCCCCTGGTTCAGTCAGACAGAGCTTTTTGATCAGGTTGTCAGCTGAAGGACAAGGCAAAACATGTAGCACTGACCTGCCCGCCACAATGGTCTTACAGGTAGCTCTGAGATCCCTCACAAGCATGGGGAATTGGATGTCCCCCCCACCACCTGAATTTTTGGTGTCACACCTCAAAAAGCAGTTTGCATTTCACAGGCCCATTGTCTGTTTCTTCTCCTTCAGGTGGTTCTTCCTTGGGATCCCCTTTGAGTCTTTTCCTCTTTGATCTGATGCACATGGCCTTCCCAAGTTGGCATTTTGCCCTGGTTTTCCATTTTCGTAGCCCACACAAACTGTGTCTTCCTGCACAGTTCAAAGCCCAGACTTGGCCCCAGTAACCCTGCATGGCTGGTCTGGGATGTGGGTGCCTCCCAGTCTGGCTCACTGGGCTGGACCCCTCTTTACACGTGACAGGATTTGTTATGGGGGCCCCTTGGAGTGTGACACAGTGGCAGTGTCCTCCTCTCTCCTTGCACCTCTGGTCTCAATGTGAAACATTCTAACTCAATTCTAACTCTATTTTCCTTTGTGGGTTTCCTCCATGCAGTAATTAGTAAGGTGAACCTCACCATCAATCTTACTGAACCTTATCAAGCCCCTGTCAAAACTTTGTTCAGTTCCATCGCACTTATGGAATTCTGTCAATTTATTACCTTACCTCAATAAAACATATTGCTGCTTCCCTCTTTTGAATGAGGTGCATTCTGCTGTTCTCCAACACCATGGAGGGCCAAGGTCCTTCTTTTCCACTCTCTCCTAGTAAGACCCCTAGGAGGAAGAACATTTCTCTGTGTTCATTGCTTAAAAGAATGGTGAAGGAAGTTCAGCGAGGTGAACCATGGAGGTGTGTGTTTCTGAGTGTATTAATATTCCCTAAATATGCTCTGTGCCTTCTGGCAGTTGAGAAATGCCTTCTTCCTGAGGGCAACATTGCTGATGCTTACAGAACCCCTTCTGACTGTGCAGACGAGGTGCTCCACAGGTGTGCTTCTCTCATAGCGTGCATTTGAAGGCAGAGGCCAGGTAGCCAAAAATGAATATCGTACTGGCAATGAGCCTTTCCAAGGTTGTTATGAGCCAGACTGGGAACTCAGGGAAGCATAAAGGTTCTGTGGTCCCCTTGGGTTAAATTAAAGTGAAATGACACCAAATGACTGGTTAAAATGTTTTACTTGCAGTAGAAACAACTTAAACTTGGAAAAGGATAGCAAGCAATGTGGCCTCTTATTAATAAACCTGTAAGGAAGAAAAGAAAGGAAGAAAAGGAAAAGGGAGAGAGAGAAAGAGAGTCGAAGTATGTGGATTACCACCCCAATTTCCAGCATTGTCTCAGGTCTGGTAATCTTGAGTGGTAGGTGCACCCCCAGCAAACTTTTCTGTTGCCTTTTAAGTTCATTTTCTCTGCTGATGATCATACTAGACAAGGAGAGGCAGGTTCTCCTCCAACTCATTTCCATGAGAGATGAGGAAAAGGAGGAATGTGGGTTCTGTGTGTGCGTGGAAGGGGGATCAGGTGCCCCTGCCCCCTTGTCAATTGAGTCAGTGGTTGTTCTCGCCCCAACACCATTGATTTTTTCCTCAGTTTTTGCTTAGGTCCTTCTGGTGCTGGTTCTTTCTCTCTCTTATCACTCCTTTAACCTGAACATATGGTTTCACTCAGTTTGTTTCCCTTCATTGAGGTTAATCTAAGGAATTTGGCAATACAACCATGAGGGAGTAGAGCTGTGCACCCTTTGATACACTCCATGTTTCCTTGGGTGGCGTTGCTTAGACTGATCACAATGGTCAAAGCTTGTCAAATTTTTCTGTTTATGACTGTTTGAGGCAACAATTCTTTCAGTTTCTTACACATGGCTGCCTGCAAAACCCTACATGGGGCTCACCAAGGGTCGGGTGGTGGTGAGAGGCTGACACTGCTGGAGGAAGAACCATGGACGGCTGCCACGGGGTCTGTGCTGGGCAGACATTTCCCCACCCTGAACAACCACCCTGGTCCACACAGTGCCTGCACCATGGGGCTGTGGGGTCATGTGGGGCAGCAGGACTTGGCCAGCCCAGCTGAGGAGGTACTCCTTGCTCTGCCCACTGCCACCCATCGGCACTGCCACAGCCCCCTCTGTGTTTGGTGATGAGGTTTCTGTGGGTGCCCTTCTGTGAGCCGCGTGGGCACCCACAGGGTGTGTCTCTGCTTGGAGCTGGTCGCCTTGGCCTGCCTGCACGGTCCTGGAAAGGCTTGGCCTTGGAGATGGGCTGGGATAGTCCTCAGCCCATGGCATGAGTGCCAGACTAGGAATGACTCCTGTAGAAGAGCTCACACTGTGCTGGGGGCATGGGTGAGCCCTTCAAGATATCCTCACACCAGGATTCTTCTTGGTACAAAGGGGAACCATGGCAGCCTGAAGCGATTTCTGCTGGATGGAAGCTGTGAGGGTTGCACAAGCACTCACAGGTAGAAGGAAAATCTTTTAAAAGGAAAAATTTATTGGGCTCTAATGATGTCAGTGCAGTGCGGGTGCATACAGGCACAACTCTGATACCCAACTCCACCATCGTTATGACCAAAGAAGAAAACAGCTTCATACTGACCCTCAGACCTGATGTGCCATAGCTCCTGCCTAAGCTGGTCTCCAAGCCCATACTCAGACACCTTGTGCTAGATCATGTGCACCGGGCCTTGTCTCCATGAGTTTGGAACATCTCTATTGACCGAGATCCCACCATCTCTCCTGAGCCCTTGTTCCGCTGCTTGTCTCTGAGGGATTTCTCAAAAAAACCCAACCCTCAAAACCAAACAGCCCACTTAGCCTCTCTTAGTACACAATGTGCTCCAGGTGCCAACCATCTTTCCAGCCTCTGCTGGACTATTCACAGCCTGTCAAGGTCTTTCTTGTGCTGGGGAGACCCACACTGGACACAGCAACCTTACTGGGGCCCATGAATAGAGGAGAAGAGTCAATTCTCTTAAGCTGCTGCCTGTGATTTTGTTAATCCTGCCCGGGATGTGGTTGGCCTGCCTCTTCCTAAGGGCACACTGCTCCCTCCTGTCCCACTTGTGCACCCAGACTCCCAGGTCCTTTTCTGCAGAGCTGCTGTCCCCAGCCTGTCCTCTTGTCTGGAGTTGTCCCAGCGCAGTGGCAGGATGAACACTGGCATTTGTCTTCAACTTTGTGTGGGTCCCAGACAGCCCTTTTCACTGAGGGCTACTACATCCACCTCTCTCTTCATCCAAAGGGCCCATCATCTCACTGTAAATGGTATTCAGGTTGGTCAGGCAGAATTTGCCCTTGTTCAGTTTTTACTGGAAGTTCCAAATCCCCTTCTTGTCCTTCAGGTACTTGGAAATGGCTTCCAGGAGGATTTGCTCCATCACTTTCACAGGGACAGACAGTGAGGCTGAGCAGCCTGTAGCTCCCTCATCTTCCTTTTTTCTCTTCATGAAGATGGGTGGCATGTTTGCCTTTTCCCAGACATCAGGAACCTCCCTGACTGCCATGGCCTTTCCAGGGTGACAGAAGCAGCCACGCACTGACCTTGGCCAGCACCCTCAGCACCCTTGGCTGAAACACACCCCATAGAGGACCCAGAGAGGCATGTATGGACAACCAGCTTGCTGAAAGTCTCTCCACATGTTCTTGGTCGCTAGGCCTACTCCCTCACTGAGTTTTGGGCCCGCTTTTATTTTTTTTTTTTGGGGTCTTGCTGTGGCTGCCAACACCGTTACCGAAGCCCCTTTTGCTACCTTCTGCATCCCTTGCCAGTTTGAGCACCAGTTGAACTCTGCCTTTCCTAGCTCCATCCCTGCATGTACAGACAAGGTCTCTGTACTCCCCAAGGGCAGCCTGAGCCCCTTCATTCCTCTGTGCAATTCCACCCCATGACACAGGCAGGCTGGTGGCAAGAGGGTGGCATCTGGGGACAGCACAGCAGTGCTGGGAGCAGGGGCACCAACAAGGAAAGGGGGTGTGTGAGCCATGCCCTGGGCTGCACACAGGGGCATGGGGTGGCTGGTGCCTCGGTGGTTGGCCAGGCTGTATGGGCTTGGGGTGGATGCCAGCTTGAGAGTAGGAGCTCTGGGATTTCCATGGAATTCCAGTGAAAATGTGACTGCAGCGAAAGCAAGTGGGCAGGCTCAGGCACAGGCAACTGCACTGGCAAGGGTGCACAAGAAAGTGTGCTGGCCTCCTGCCATGTTGCTCAACTTCATCCATAAAAAGCCCACATAGTTTTTGCATTTGAACAGGTTTGGCCTTGAAGATGAAACAGTTGTCCAAGGCTCCTTTGTTCTACAGGGCAGTTTCCCAAGAAATCCAGCCCAGGAACTTCCTGAGAAAGACAAAAATGTCTCCCTTGTATCCAAGGCTCTGATTCTGGGGTTTGTCCTGCACACCTCTCTTGGGAGTTTAAACCCCACCATCTCCTGGTCACTGCAGCCATGTGACACCGACCCTCAGTGGAAAAGCTCACGTGCCCATGGTTACAATTTCCTGGCACTCTGTCTCAAATATTTGCTCCAGAATGACATGACAGGCCACATCAAGCCTCTCATCTTGCTGCACCCATTCCTGGAGGAACAGAGAAGTGACAGGGTTTGACTGTCCCATTTTCAGTGCTGAGGCAGGATTTGGGGAAGTGCGGTGCTTCCCCCTGCATCAGCTCCTTCATCTCACTGAGAGGTGGGGCTACAACATCTGCTGGGCAACCAGCCCAGGTTCTGGATGCCACCAGTTTTCTCCAAGGACATGCTTCTTTTAGCCACCAGCTGTTGCTGGGTCCTGCTCTACCTGCTGCCAACCCAAGGGCAGCTTCATCACCCTTCTGGCCTTTGGCAACTTCTGCTCCACGTGGCTTCCTGCTCCTCCGGGCAGCTCTTCTTGCCTGGCTGAGAGCCACTCACAGGTGATCAACAGCCTCCAGAACAGTGGCTGTAGGGGAGAGGGAAGGTGGGCAGGAAGGGTTGCACTGGCCTTTCGCCACCAGGAATTGTCTCCTTTGTATCAGCCCTTAGGAAGCCCTGACAAAACATCTCCCAAATTCAGTGCTGGCAGGAGGATCTCCTATAGACCCCTCTGGTCTGAGCCTCCTCCAGACGCCTGCACCCCTGGGCTGGATGCTCTGCCTGGCACGGGAGGATCAGGCCACTCTCCTTGTACCCACACCATCTCCACCTTGGGAAAGAAACACCTCTAAGATTTGAAGACAGGCTTCAGGCCTGCCCATTGCTCCCACCCCCCACTTCTCTGGATATCCAGAACGACCTGGGGGGTGCTTGGGCCCCTCTTTAATAGGACATAACCAGAGTCTTCACATTTGTCTCAGGACAAGAAATGGCACCATCCAGACCCCAAACTCACCTGCTGCAGGTCCTGTACTGCACAGTGGTGATTGGTGTCAGGACCAACTGCCACTCCCAGCTGTACTTCTCAGGGCTGTGGTCACACCATCAGATGACATTTTGGGCACCAAAAAGGAATATTGTGGTTTACCCCCAGCTGACATCTAAGCACCATGCAGCCACTCACTCATTTTCCCCACATCTCCCCTGGTGTGATGTGGGGGAGAATCAGAAAAAAAGGTAAAAACAAAAAAAAATCCTCATGAGTTGAGATAAGAAGAATTAGATAATTGAAACAAGATGTAGTAATAATATTAATAATAATAACAGAAATAATTGCAATAATTGTAATGAAAAGGAAGATAACAAAAAGAGAGAGGAATAAAACCAAAGAAAAAGACAAGAGGTGCCCAGTGCAATTGCTCTGTACCCACTGATCCATGCCCAGCTGGTCCCCCCAAGCAGTGATCCACATCTCCCTGCCAACCCACTGCCTTCCTCCCTCTTGTTTATATACAGGGCCTGATGTCCTGTGGTATCAAATAGCACTCTGACTAGTTCGGGTCAGCTGTCCTGGCCATGCTCCCTCTCAGATTCTTGTGTCCCCCCTCACTGGCAGCATGGGAAACTAAACAATCCCTGACTTAGGATAAGCCCTGCTCAGCAACAACTAAAACATCCGTGTGTTCTCAACATTGTCCTCATCCTAAACCCAAAGCACAGCACTGTACCAGCTGCTAGGAAGAAAATTAACTCTGTCCCAGCTGAAATCAGGACTTTGCAGATTGCCTTTCTTGGTAAGCCTGGCTCCTTGCAACCTTTTTTGTCAAATAGGCAAGTTCTTATGGGCCCCACTGCCCTCTGCATCTGACATGCACACCAGCTGGTTGGATCATTTGGCCTCTGTGACCAGATGCCGTGGGTCATGCTCACGATCCAGGCTCTTTGCAAGCATCAAATTCCTTCCTCTTGTTCTTTTCAGTCACGTGTACTACGATCGGAAATGTCAGGCTGTGCTCTGCCTGTTGTGACAAACTGCTCAGCCCTCGTCATGGTCTGCCTTAAACCAAAAAGACTTTTCAGCATGCACAACATTCTTGTCGGGGTGGCTTCTGCATCTGTGCCTCCACTGCCTGCTGGCAGGAGTTTGCTGCAAATCTTAGAAAGCAGCAAATCCTGATTTTTGTCACTCTTATCCCTGAACTTGACCTCATTGTTGCCCAATAAGGTGTGGTACTGACCTTCTGAGGCACATAGATTTAGGTCAACCTCACTGCTCGTTGTCTTCCTGTGAAGTTCAGTGTGACTGAGGATGAGCTAGCTCATCGTTACAGTAGTGCTTTCCACCTTCATCATCACTTCCATTAAATGAGCATTTCTTTTTCTTACCCATACTGCCATACATCCACTCAAGTTATTGTCTTCTCAGAGGAACCATCTGCACACGTGCCTTAAATGCTGATGTGCTGGAGCTTCAGTGCACAAGGACCTTGAGATACTTGGGGCTTTGGCCAGCAGGAACCTCAAGTTGTACAAGGAGAAGGGGCAAAGTGGGACTGGACCAGCAGAGGAGTGAGTCTGAGGAGAAGGCCCTGGGCACTGTGAGTGATGCCATATGTGCCGCTGGTAAAGGCTCACCATGAATAGAGCCAGCTCCTGCATACGGAGCTGCACTTGTAGCATGACCATCGAGACACGGGGAGTTATCATCCCCCTCAACTCAGCACTGGTGTGGCAACACCTGTAACATTCTGTGGGGCTTTCCATTCTGAGGAGCAGGAAGGAACGGGAGAGTGCCCAGAGGATGTCTGCAAAGGTGGGTTTAGAGGTCATGAAGCACATGAAGTGTGTGGTGTGGCTGAGGCACCTGGACTTCCTTGTCCTGATGGTGTGGAAGGTCGTGCGGGAGTAAAAGAGTAGCTCGAAATTAGGAGTTTTGGGTGTTTTCAGAGAATTTGGACCTTTTCTTTGTAGTGGGAAACCACCTGAGAAAGGAAAAGAATCACAAAGTACAGCTTGGGAGGTTGAGACTGGACAGGAGGAGAAAAAAATGTCCCTTAAAGGGTAGTGCTGTGGTACCAGAGGTCACCCAGAGCCCATATCAGTGCAGTGCTTTGTGTTCCAAGGGACAGGCAGGGAGGAAGGAGAGATCTCAGGAAAGGCAGGGAGATGCCATAGGCTGGGTGTCCACAGCCTGGGGGTCTCTGTCCCCTTGGCTATGGCAGTTGTCTCTGCTACCAAGGCCTGAAAGGAGACATGATAATCGCATGGAACTGGAGCCTCGTGGCTTCCTTGCAGCCCCCCAGGGAGGCTGGGAGCTGTGGCACCACTGTCCTCCACTCAGCATTGCCCACCCCACCCCACAGTGCCCCAGGAAGAGCCCTGAGCCAGTGTGAGGGACGGGATCCCCCTTCCTTGGGGCTGACCACTTGGCATGATAAAATATATCAAGTTTTACTCAGCATCAGCTCCCCTTGCACAGTGCCTTTGCCTACCTGTACTCACAGCCTCCAATTTTCTTCTCTAACTAATCCATGGGGACACCTGGTCTGTAATGGGCCTCAGAGGGGGCCAATTAACACTCCAAGACACTTTGGCTTTTGCTTCTGACTGTAACCCCTTCAGAGATTGGTTCAGGTCCTCTCAGTATCTGAGGTTCAAGCACCAAATACACCCCTGGTCTCATCAAAGTGCAGAAAACCCAAAGGAGCCACGTCTCTTCCATCAATTATTTCAGGACTTCCAATCTTGTACAGCTAATTGGAGAGGCTTCAGGAGTCTAATTAAAGTGGAAGATTTTAATAACAACTTCATAAAAAAACCTTTTTTTTTTTTTTTTTTTTTTTAATTTTGAAGGGGGTTTTATTCCTTTTTTAATTTTACAGAAGTGATAGAAGCTTTCTCCAATTCAGAGGGTCTTCTAAGGAGGACAGGAAATGTAGCAACAGCTGTCTCCTCATGGTCCCCCACTGTATGGGCAACTTTCCTCCCCACCTCCCCTGCCCCACCATTTCCCTCAGGGGCTGCCTGGGACTTGCATTCTTCTACATCAGACATCCTCACTGATGTGCACAGCTGAATGTTACAGCTCCTTTGCACCAATTCCCTCCTGATTTACCCTGAGACTTGACTGTAAATAGTCACAGGAATCTTATTAATTTGAAGAAAGAGAAGTAAAACATGATACAAATTTTTTTAAAAAAAAATCAACAATAACTCCTCAACTGTATGCCAAGTCCAAGCCTCCACTAAGGTCTACCTTCCTCAAGCGATGACCATAAAAGGAATACTCTAGACAAATAGATAGGAAATTATAAATATACACAAATTAGCAAGTTGGCTAAAAGAGAGTTTGGCAGTTTAAATCAACTTTTCCACCTTCTTGGCCAAATTTCTAGCCCAGAGCCTTGTCACCAGCTCATGCCTCTAGTGATCTCCCTGCCCATCTTCCTGTGCCTCCTTAGCCCATGCCCACCTCTAGCAAATGAAGTTGGGGTGTTCTGGGCAACATTTTACAGTCAACTGAAAAATCATTTGTCAATGTTCAAAGCATTTCTGAGGTATAACTGAGAAAGAAATGAACTTGTGTAACATCATGTGGATGTTAACATCATTGTATTTAGCAAAACCCAGTCCTCGAAGACAGTCTGTTCTAAAAGCTCCCCTGCAACCGCACAGAAATTAAGATGCAAGAATAAACTAATTATAGTTTCTGCACTCTAACAAGCTCCCAGGGGAAAGTTACTGAGCTGTGGGAGGAATAAAGAGTCTTTGGGGTTTAGTGGGGTATGCTGAGGGGTTTGGGTGAGGAAGCTCCCTCAGCAGATTGACGTGAGCCTCTCTGGGGGCTGATTAGAGCAGAAGAACAGAAGCAAGTGACTTCAGGGTGACAAAGAAAGGAGACAGAGACATCCTGTGCTGTGTAGCCTCTTGGATGTGCCCTGACAAGGGGCTCAGTGCTAATTCCCAGCCCATTTGAATGGTGATGCCTTTGGTCATCAGCAGCTGAGGTTTTCCCCTGGTCACTCTGAGGACAAATACACGCCGAGTGCCACATCCTTGCCCCTCAGGCCTGGCACTTTGCAGCTCACCCTAAACCTTTGCCTATAGCCTAACACCTAACCCTGAAAGGTGAGCTCTCATCCTTAGCCCTGCCCTGATCACTGAAGCTGAAACCCTCACCAGATGCCTGAAATCTAAGCCCTACCTACCTCCCTAATCCTTTCGCTC